TTTGCATAAAATAAGCTCTCTGATTATTTAAGGAACACCTTAAACTTAGTTGAAAATAATATAATTTTGCACATAGTTGACTTTGGATAAATGTTTAAGCACATCTGTCAGTATTTAATATTTCAGATTTAATACAGGCATTAATTATAGATATTTAGAACTATTTTTATATGTATTCAGTAAAGATAAGTTAAATATTAAATGGAATATCTTTATTTACACTGAAACATGCTTATATTTTGTAGATACAATATGAAAAAATTGTAAGAACATGTACAAAGTAAAGGATTTATTTATTTTTTGCAATGTATCAGACTAAAAAGCTGCATGCTACCTTAGCCAGGTTATTACATAATACAAAATAAATGCATCAATTTTTTTGTGCCAGCTGTTTTTCTTAGCTTTATCCGCACTTGTTTTACCATTTCATACATTAGCACATTATAAACAAGTTTGCCGCGATTTTTTATCTTTGTATGGAAATTGCAAAAAGACATTAATTTCAGAAGAATACATTTTTATAACAAGAGTTTATAAAATTTTATTCCTGGTGTAATTTTTTAGGTGCTGGTGTTGAAACAGCATCATATACATCTTCATTCAATTTAATAGCTAAGAAATAAATTTCAGCCAAAGCTATGATCAATGCACAAATTATACCTAATAACAATCTAAACCCAAAGTCTAGGTTTCCTACTATTAACTCCACACCTATAAATCCAAAGGCAAATCCTGCTAGCACAGAGAACACAAACTGTGCAACAGCTATGAGTTGCTTATTTATTTGCTTCACTGAAAATATAAATTAATATAGATATAAAGTATTTCAAAAGGAGTTTATACTTTAAGTTAAAAATCTCACTTTGATAAGAGATAGTATCTTCTGGTAACTTCATTACAGTATTATCAACATTTTTGGTCATAGCTCTGTATCTGATAGCATCTTGTTGTGCTTTTAACTTTTGTGTTCTAGCTTCTAGTTCAGGATTTCTTGGTGTGACTTTTGGTGTTGGTAATCTGATGTCATCCTCCTCTAAAAGTTCATGTAAATAAATATTTTCCTTGTTGAGGATTCTGTAATTTTCTAAGTAATTTTTCAACCATTTTAAATCTTCAAGGTTTAATAAAATATCTTTTTGCTTCTCTTTAGTAGATTTCTTTAAAGCAGCAATAGTAGGTGTAGTGCTACTTGTTTTCTTTATATTTTTGCAAATAAATTCTATGAGTTTCTTATTTGGCTTTATTTTTATAGAAGGATCTTCTATTGATTCAACTGGCATTCTTATATTTTCTAAAATACAAATCTTCTATTGCTAACAGAATAATATTGTTATTTAATATTCATACATTAAACACTGTATCGATATTGCTTTATATTATCAATTATTACAAAGTACAAAATGTATTTGCACAATATTGCTGCATAAGAATGAAATATATATTGATTTATGGTGTGATATGTAACTTTTTTTCTAAATCAATGTAAAATTCTCTTATTTCATTCTCTTTCTCTTCAAAAGTTTGATTTACTTTTTCACATTTTTCACTCATATCATTAACAAACTTCTCCCATTCTAATTTCCTTAACTCTCTGTTTTCTTGCAGTACTCTGTCCTACAAAAATGATTAGATACACTTGTTAATGATAAATGTGAATTCTTCAGAACTTTATGTCAAATTCAGTCATCAAAAATAATCCATACACTATCAAAATCTTGTTCTCTTTGAAGAACTCTTTCACACATACTCAATGCAACATCAACATTTGCCTTCAAGCTGGGTAAATGACAATCCCCAAGTTGCTCTGTACGATCGTGTTGACTTTCTTTCAAGTCCGTGGAATATTCGAGTATCTTAAAAAGACGTTCCACTTCTCGGTCGCCCCTCTTGTCCTATAAATGTACAATCTTTCTTACTTGTGTCTACTAATAATTATCAGTAACTACAAGACAACTTGAAACAAAAAAAAATTCAAACTTGGCTCGCCATTTTATAATTTAATTAATATAATAAAATTTTTCGATGTCGATTTATAGGTTATGCAAGAATGACACGTTATTATCAGAGCATACACACAATGATCAGTTGATTTACTACCGAAGGTTATATTTTCATACGGTTTTCTTATTCAATCACTAATTGGTACTGCGTAAAAATACAGGTACAGACAAGGATTCGAGGATCCTTTACCTGAAACTCGCGCAGAAAGAAACTGACTTCGCCCTGGATGAACGGTCGATGATCGAATAGACGGCTCCAAATTTCACCCGTGTCTACGAAAATGTGATATCCCGAATGAAATTACGCTAAATATTTCTAACTATAAAACGTATACTTGAAATTTATGTATTTATAATCAAACGAAAGATGCCGCACCTTTGATAATGGACGCCATTTTCCCTCGTGATGTTAATGTATCAGCAGACTGCGATCTTGTAGACATTTTTTTCGCTCATCGCGCCCAATACGAATTTTCCTTCCTTATCATTTGAAAATATTTTCCTTTGTTATTAACGTTAAAACAGTTATGACAACTGTTTGCATGATTTTTTCTTTCATTCACCATTAATATTATCGCGTTACATTTTAATTCAAAAAATTCGATTCTTCGTTATTTATTAATCACACACACACACTCGTAGAACGTGTTATTTATTGTTGTTATTCAACGTATACGTAGAGAGAGGAATTACAACGAGGATATATAAATTCGTAATAATGAAAAAATAATAGGCTGTGGTACACACGGTTTCCATGTAAATTATCCAGGGACAAACACGTGGTGTGTTATAATAAATCTCCGATGAAATATATAAGTGGCGTGAAAGGCAGAAATTTATTAATACGATTAAATGCAGGATTTTCCGGCAGAGAAATTCGTATTACATTTTACTGAAAATGATTTTTTTTTCTTTCACTCTGAAATGCATATCCGATCGCAACATTGCCCGAAGACTTTCCACTTGAATTCGTTCATCGATCTCAATTGTGAATTTAAGTAACACCTGTATTTCGTTAGACTGTTTAATGTTTCCTGCTTATCGATTCGTACCGTTTCGTAGCAAGCTCTTCTTCGAGCCATACTTTCTAGAATAAGAACTGCCAATTCTAAGGTTTCGAGGCAGTTGGAGCTTTCACTTTTAAGTGAACAATTTTCACTTTTCCACGTTTGAAAAGTTACCTCTTAATCGCGACGATTACTCGACTTCTCTCCGTCGAGACAAATATAACTTGTAGTGGCTGTTGCAGCGATTCCTCCCCGGTAGTTCTTTTCTTTTTTCTTCATTTTCTCTCGATAAGTTCGAGGACCATCCGCTCTATTGTTAGTCGCGCGCAAGAGCAAGGAAAGTAATTACAGACAGGAAATTGCTCGAGGAAAATGGGCTTTCCATTGGGTCCGATGATGGATTGACGTTTAAATCAGAAATAATTATTTGCCGCTCAAATGGCGAACAAATTCGCTTCCTTCAACCCTTGAAGTTACGAAACGATTGTTCCTCGGGAACTTCTTCACTCTTTCAGTGGATCTCTATTTCAGTTTCAGGAGACTTGCTGCTGCAAAAGTGCAAGAGTTTTTAACATTTTTCGTAAGCAACACCGGTTCTTTTTTATCCGTCTATCAATCAATTATCCGTTTCGTTGCGGCAGATTTTAGTACGTAACACGCGTGCAGATGATAGATATTCAACCGAGGCCGCAAAAGTTCAGTTTTAGTCGCATCGTTTTCAAAATTTATTCTGTTAAATTAAACGCGCAGAAGATAGAATTAAGGATTTAAATTAAGATAAATTAGATTATTTGAATTAAGTTAAGGTGAAAATACCCCGAAATGCTTCAATAGCACGGTGCGAATTAATTTTCACAGCGCTTATATGCGACAGCAGCGATGAAGGGGTTAAGATGCGATCAATTCTTCTTTTCACGTCGAATTATCTTTAGAAAAATGTCTGATGGTGAAAATTTTGATCAAGGAGGACCACCTTCAAGATTTGAAAAAATCCTTTTAAACTTTATTCTTTTAAAAATATAATTCAAATAGTTTGAACGAAAAATTTGGACGGTTACAGCCGATTTAACGAAGCGCGTCACCGCAGCGTCAGTCAGTATGTAGTCGTCGAAACTTTAATCACGTTTTTCTCAGAACGACAGCTTTAAAGTCGGTGCTTTCCATAACTTCGACAATTTTCATCAGATTCACTTGAAATCTCCACAAACTACTCTCCGTCATACAATCTGAAGAAGTACGCAGGATTTTTGCAATATATTGGAAACTTCTTCTGCGATTAACATTGTTATACTGATATTCTTTCTTCACATACTCTCCATTTCTATAAAACTCGATATTTAAAAAAAATTCTATTCGCTTCTTTAGTAGCTGGCATGTAGATGATGAAAAATTTTGATATTTTGTTCTAATTGCAAGTCAAACGTCCGAAATAGAGGTTCGAGTTTTTGTAAATAAATTACATTTTGCAAATAAATTAAATAAAAAAAATACTTTCACGTTCTTCAAGGGTAATATATTATAAGTCCCTATGAAAAGTTTTCGACTGAGTCAATTATTTTCTTTAAAAAAAATTCCTAAGTTAGATACCATTTTTAGGCTTCAAGGGTGATCTAATCTCTTATCACTTTCGCGACTAGCGCCGGTTATATCCGGCATCCACTAAATGCTTCACACTGGCTAGCGCCGGTTATATCCGTCATCCACTATTCGCGTCGCATTGGCTCGCGCCGGTTATATCCGGCATCCACTAAGCGCGTCGCATTGGCTCGCGCCTCGACAACTCAAAGCGAAGATTTATTTTAAAATACAGAACAAGGCCTCAACAACATTCCCTTTATCCAATACACCCTTAAGTCCTTTGCTGTTCCAACGAAATCCTCTAAGATTTGTAAAAACGCGAGACACTCTTAATGTGTACGGTGTGCACTAATGGCATGACGACCCGTTCGTTAGTGGTGTACCGATGGCTAGTTCCGCCGTCGCGAAAGGGTTAAAGGTCGATCAAGTATAAATTGATGTAAGAATAATTTCTCTTTTCTTATATCTATTTTAAACGAAATACGTGTCTGGTCGATTCGTGTTTCAAAAAGGAATCGTTCGATCCGCGAATGTTATTCAACACTTGGCTGTTTAGTCGACGAATGAAAGACGTGTATTCGACACCTACTCGCCTCGTGCTCGTGTTACAATTCGACGCATGACTTATCGATGGAAAATTTGAGACATTCGACGGGATATCGCGACAATTGCCTCGTGTGCACTCAGTGCACCAATGGTAGGGATACTCCGTAGGGTATAAATGAAAAGAAACGCGGGATTGCTCGTTCGTTTCACGAAACTCAGTTGCTCATATCGATCTCGAACGTCGTGAACGTCCTAAAAACACAATGCATCGTTTCCTGTGCTTCGTCCTGTTGTTCATCATTTTGCCATTTACATTGTAACATTCGTTTCTCCCTTCTTTTCGCATTTCATTCATAATATTATCGCAAACGAAACAGTCGTTGGTGTTTTTTCGAAAATAGAATTTTAATAATAATCGGTGTCTTTCTTCTTCGAAAATAACATTCGAAAGTTTGTAGATAGGAAGTGTCGAGGTTTTGCTTGATCTTCAATTTTTTGTTTCTCAGCCAAGAGGCCGTCGAGGAGGGTGGCTGCGAGTGCGCGGTGTTTGCCAGGCAAATATCCGAATCAATCATCGAACGGGCTCTCCCGTATAATGTCACGTGCGACGCCGAGGGGGAGAATAATTGTCAACAATTGTGTGTTGCCGTGGTCGGTAAATAATCGCGATAAGCACGATACTATGGCTCATGAATCATGAAAGTTAGAAAGTCGCGTATAATTCTGTGCAGGCTGAGACCGCGAGAGTAAAGGCGCCCCAAATGATTTGTGAGAAACTGAATACACACGTGGAGAATCTTCAGGTAAATAATTTAAGAAAAGTATTCCGAACTTCGGTGCTGAAATTGAAAATACGTTTGCGTGCGATGGAACGAATATACGGGGGAACGAAAAATATGTTTCAGGTGGCGGTGTACGCTAAAGTGTGCGACGCGATCAGCTGGAAATTCACCGGGTTGAAAGGTGCAGATCCAATTTGCTGCCACGAGGGGAAGAGTATACCTTGCGGTGATCCAGATCTAAATCAGACCGTTTTCAATTAGTCACTTCTCTGTGAAATTTTACGTAATCACTAAACATTTATCGTTTCATCTTTGTCGTTATCGATATGAATATCCCATCTGTGCCCGGATTGTAAAATAAATTTGAAGATCCGTGTGACAACCGGTTTGGTTTACTTTCATTTTTGGGGACGATTAAAGAAATTCCCAATAATGCAGAAAGGTGTAAAATAGAATTAAGCGGTTTTATTGTTTCTAAGAATAGATACGTATATCAGGTTGGTACCTGTGAAACGAAACTTTTCATACATAGATTTTCTTCGAAAAATAATGTAAGTATTTAATGAAAATAATTTCTACACGATTCTATACACCTTTCCCGACGATTAACTAGTGTTCGTTATTCCAAATACGTAAAAGTTATCAGTCTTTGAATGCTGCTTTTACAGTGTTTTCATTTCGGGGTAATTTATCCCGTGTTTGAGGAAATGGTAGTCTGTTTGGGGAAAGGTTGAGCGAATAGGGGAAAATTTCATATTATCTACCGTGAATAGTTTTCAATAATTTTTCTTGAAATATTATCATCTTTCTTTTGGCTCATTTTCCAATAAAAAGTCACCAATCTTGAATTTTGCACACCAACGTTAAAGTGTCCCAACATTTAGACAACCTTCTTCAAATACTAAATTTAAATTTTCCGCAGTTTTTCAAAGTTTAAACTTATATAAAAAAATTACGCGAATATCTCGATTATTCATCATGTCCAAACAATTGTATTAGAAATTTTTTTACTATTCAGCACACATGTACTACAGGAAATTAAAAATTTGCGATCGTGCAAAATTTAATAGCTGTTGAAAAAACGACGTTTCATTGGATCAACTTAATTCGACGATTATAAATAATTCTACGACAGCGTAGAGCATAGAAACTTCGCTAGGCATTCGACGCGTCGAAAATCTCGATCGAAGATCCATTTTATCTCGATCGTTCGATTTCAACGAATTCGTCGAGCGTCAAAGGTTTTTCCCGCTGGTAAAATCGTCTGGTTAAAAGCATTAAACGTTGTCCATATTCTTTTCCTTTTTTCCTCGAAGATCCTTCACAGATCGATTATACACGTACGCAGAAGACGGTCTCTTTTCGAGGGGAGAATACAGAGTAAGTCTCAGCCGATTTCAGATATCTCCTTTTCCGTGAATGGTGTTCAGAGATCCTCGTCCCAGAGGCTAAGATCCATTGAATAGAGGGTTTGTTATCGCTCCCCTGACTTCCTGCCGATGAATCCTTCGTCGTGGCTCTCTATATCGACCTTGCCTACCTAGAAGGCCATTGTGTACCCGCGGTTTTGTCGTCCTTTCTTCTCTCGATTTAATGACTCCGCCATTTTCGCGCCGTCTTCACCGTTCCGTGCTCCACAGAGATCTACTCAATTTCCTTCGTGATCGAAGCTGACACTATTTTTCCGAATATCCCCGACGAGATGAAAATTTCACTGCTATCTGTGTCGCGTATAATCGATAACAAATCGGCACACTTAGGTAGTAGCACTGTAGCATTGTAAAATGTTAGCCCCTGTCTGTGTTATTCCAAGGAACTCGGGAAAAACGGTGTGAAAGGGCGCGAGAATGACAGAATGTCTGCAAATATTTAGGCTGCAGCGATAGTTGCGTCGAACGAAAGGTGTTTGATCTAGAGCGAAAGAGGTGCAAAGGAAGTATGTTTGGGCAGAGCATTCGAGAATATCGTGTGAACGGAGGATGCGTGACCACCTAAAGATTTTGGCGGACCTGACTGAATGTCTAGAGAATAGAGAAAGAGGAAATGTGCGAGTGTGAGAATGAATGAGAGTGAAAGAAGCGCGTGTGACACAGTACATATACGGTATGCAGAGAGTTGAGAGTGCGAGCGAGAATACAGTATATTCTCCACAACTGTCAGACCGCAAGGAAGGTAAACCTGACACTCGTAGAGTCAGGGACTACGTTTTCGAGCCGCGCGCCCGCCTTTGTAGTTTGCCGAACGTAGACAAGGACGGCGAATAAAAGATAAGCATGAAACGTGAGTCGAGGCAACCAAGCGATTTAAATATTAACTTTTTTAATTTTACGTTTTTTTATCCCGACACTTTTCTTAACATATTGATGAGATTTTTCTGATGAAAATGATATCAAACACGATATAATTTGAACATTTACTTGTTAACACGTTCACTGTCGCACCAGATTTACAGATTGCTATCAGGCGGCCACAAGAAAATACATTTTAAGCATAGGATTATAGTATTATGCTTTATAATTTTTTTTTTTCAATTGAAAATAATGTCTAGCTAGCTATGACGTTCAAAATTTTTAGTTGAAAACATTTATTTTATTTTAATTATTCTAAACATTTGAGACACTCCAGTCACTGATGACCACCATGGCCATATCGAGGAAACAATCTAATGTTAATACTTATTGAGTGATTAATTTAATTTCATAATATATCGCTTTGGGTGAATTACAAAAACAAATTGCTAAGAAATTACATTATATACATACCTGTACGCATTATCCGTCGAATGTAGAGGGGGAGCCACCGTTTGGTTGCCACTTGTTTATCACATAGAGACAGCCTTCCTCCACGTAAAAAAAAAAATGTGGGGTCGATTCCACAAGTGTCAGTAAAATGTAGGGTCGATAGCAGCAGAAAAGCTGCTAAACAATTAGAATTAAATATAAGGATAGAAATTATTGCAATAATGCGTAATGCAATTGAAAAATTGAAAGAATCAAAAGAAAAAACGCGAATTCGTATCTTTTTCGATTCTAGAATATAAGAAAATTTGAATAAAATACGCGACGAGAATTGGGGAGAAGCATAAGTTAAACGCGTAAAAATATTCAATAATAAACGAACTAGGGATGAAGCTATTATTTCAATACGCGATGCACTGACTCTAGTATTTACTAAAATTCAAAAATTCTCGCATAAATTCCAAAAATAGATTATTAATTACGGTAAACTACTGAGACGGTTTAATTAAGGGTGGGCATGGTGCTGCTTTAGTTTGAAATGATTTATAAACACATAATTAACAGAGGAAAAACCGTGAAACGGCAAAACGTCTACATTCTAATTGTTATAACATGTAAACAGAACTTTAAATTTAGTGTAAACAGAAAAAATATATAATACAATTTATTTCACGGTATTGCAACAAATAAACGTTGAATCAATATTTAATTCGTATAAAAACAATTATTTAACGTAATAATTTTACCTTCACTATGGCTATTTTTAATCTACGACCACAGGTCAACCTGATTTCTAATCCTTACGAACTTTAAATTCAGTCTAAACTGAGAAAATATATAATACAATTTATTTCACGGTATTGCAACAAACAAACGTTGAATAGATTCTTAATTCGTATAGAAACATTTATTTAAAATAATAATTTCACCTTCACTATGGCTATTTTAAATTTACGACCAAGGGTCAACCTGATTTTTAATCCTCCGAACTTGATTTCACAACGAGAAAGTAATAAGATCGTTGAAACGTACTTATTTGTCAAAGAAACTTGCAAAAATGTATAAATAATAATATGTAATGTTTTAACAAATTTTTGGAAGTATAAATTAATAATAAAATTGTGAAAATTAATAAATTATACGTTATTATAACATTAATAGAATTATGACTAAACCGAAGTTCGAAGTCGAGTATTTAAAGTCTGATATTACGTGCCTAGCGAGTGCCGGTAATTGTTAAAATTTGTTTAATAATTAGTAATAGAAATTCTAATTGATTCTAATGTATACAAGTGTTACAAGAAGGCTGAGTGTGTACAGGGTGGACATAGACTAGCTAGTAGCCCCCGACCACTCTATTCACATCTCAGAACCTTCAGGTCAAAATACGCCGCGAAGTGTCTAGGGCCCAGTATAAAGGGTAAATGATTTCGCGGGACATCGGCGGGTCCTTATATACCTGCGGTACCCTCTCCCCAAAGTCATTAGCAAAATCGTCGGTTAGGTCAGGCGGGAAATTTTCGCGGGAGATTTTCGCGGGAGATTTCCGATATCGTAACACGGTATAATTTATCAATTTTCACAATTTTATTAAAAATTTATACTTCCGACAATTTGTTATAACATTGCATATAACAATTTATACGTTTTTACAATATTCTTCAATGGAAACATAGGTTTTAGCGTTCTCGTTACTTACTCGTGGTTAAATTAATTTCGTAGGGATTAAAAATCAGGTTGACCTGTGGTCGTAGATTAAAAATAACCATAGTACAGCTAAATTTATCGTGTTAAATAATTCTTCTTACACGAATGAAAAATGTATTCAACGTTTGCTTGTTACAATACCATGAAATAAATTATATTACACATTTTCTCTATTCACACTGAATTTAAAGATTATAACGATTAAAAATCAAGTTGACCTGTGGTCATTTATCAAGAATAATCATAATAAAGCTGAAATTATTGTGTTAAATAATTTTTTTAATACGAATTAGGAATTTATTCAACGTTTGCTTGTTACAATACCATGAAATAAATTATATTATACGTTTTCTATATTTACACTAAATTTATCGTTCTATTCTAACAAGCAAACGTTGAATAAATTCCTAATTCGTATTAAAAAAATTATTTAACACAATAATTTCAGCTTTATTATGATTATTCTTGATAAATGACCACAGGTCAACTTGATTTTTAATCGTTATAATCTTTAAATTCAGTGTGAATAGAGAAAATGTGTAATATAATTCATTTCACGACACTAAAACAAACAAACGTTGAATACATACAAATGTAACGATAGAAATTATTGCAATAATGCGTAATGCAATTGAAAAATTGAAAGAATCAAAAGAAAAAACGCGAATTAACATGGGCGCAGCAATGACGCAGACCTAGGCGTAGGACCATCTATACTGTCACTTGTAGAATCCAAACTTACTGACTCTTGTAGAGAATTTACTGTAGTGGAAACGGAGAGTATTGTGAGAGAAATCGAGAAACTTTATAAGCACC